TGATGTCATAGCTCTGTGCCTCAGTTTACCCATCTGTAAAATGAGGCTAACAGTCCCTAGCTGCCGGTGAGGGGGAAGAGAATAACACAATTGATGGGTGTTGGGTGTGTGCTGAACATGGAATAATCTAAGAATCCTGAGATGTGAGAACTTTATGAACACTGGATGGGACCCAGGCAGTGAGGTGAAGTGATTGAATATTGGGTTTGAAGACTTTCCTGGATGAATGTATTGTTCTAGTTTAACAGGAGGCGACTGGAAGCAACACAATGGAACCAGCTAAGCAACTTCTAAACAAACACTTGGGGGGCAATTAAAAGACAATGGAGGAAACTATTAGCTTCCAGGCTCCGAGATCCTTTCACCAATGCTGGGAAATGACAGCTCAGAGCTAAAAAAGTGACTTGGTCTCTGGGTAGCAGGGTGATCAAAAGAACTGGGCAGCTTTTACAGAAGTCACTCCCTGCAGCAGGGGGGCAAGTGTGGTTTGGGAGTTAGGGAAATGGATTACGCCACCCACAGCCCTCCCCAGCACTTTCAGGGGGGCTGTAGGAATCACAGACCTACCAGGATCCTGCTGTTGAAGATGGTTAGATACCTGGTAAACTATGGCCAGGAACTATAAGAGGGTGCTCAGACATAATGCTGCAAAGGGCCAGGTAAATTAGCTACTTAATCTGAATATGGGACCTGATCCTCACCTGGTGTAAATCAGCATCGCTTCATCCACTGTGCTGGAGTTACACTGATTTACACCAGCTAAGGAGCTGGCCACTAGCTGTGCTGGGCTCCTGCTCCTTGCTTGCGTCAGTGAGGTTCCTGATGCAGAAGGCTCACCTTTGAAAATGCAAAAATGGGTTTCCCTGCAAATGTTCTGCATTAGTGGGCAGTGACCTCTGGGTGGCAGCAGATGGCCCCCTGGGTGAGACAAGGCCGGCAGCGAGGGGTGAGGCTCCCTTGCTGAGGTGCTGGATTCCAGGTGGCAGGGATCCTGTGGCACAAGGACTCAGGTCCTTAGCACAGCAGGGACCCAACGGGACGGTCGAGGCAGCTCCATGAGAACCTTCCCAGCTCCACAGAAAGCTGGTAGGGCCAGGCAAGGAAAAGGTGCAGGCTTCTGACCTGTCGCTGGCCTGCTGGGTGATCTGGGCCAACTCCCAGCTCCTCACCTTCCCCCCCCCACCCCCCCGGTTCCCATGGGGATAATAAACTCTGGAGGGCTCCTCAGTGCCTGCTAGTGAGGAGTCAGGGATTCCTGGCTGGAAGGACAGCAGGAAAGAGGGTTATTATTACAGCCCAACTTGGGAGCAAGTGCAGGAGATAAACACAGACGGCAAGTGGTGCTAATAAAGCTGTCAGCTAGGGGATCAAGGAGCCAGCGCAAAGCTGGCTGCTAATTCAGCGATTACCACCCATAACATCTGTGGGAAATAGGGTGACCTTTAACCCCAGAGCGCTCGAGGAAACGGGGCCATAGCGATACAAAGTGCTGAACAGACTGCTGACATCAGGGATTCATCAGCGGATTGATCGCCTTCGGCAGTGGAAGGACAGGCTGGTGCAGAGAGCGAAGGCTCTGAGAAAGAAAAGGGGGGACCCCAAGAATCAGGAATGTTTTAGCAGCCCCGTCACAGCCAGATCCTGCCGCCGAATGCTGAGCGGGCCAGCTGGGGACTCTACACCGCAGCGTCATTCAACTGAGGGCACCAGAATAAGTCGGGATAGTTCAGGCATTTCAAGCCCTGGCATTGTTAGTGACAGTGGAATTAATGAATAATTGTAGTTTACTTAGGTCCTAGCCGCTGGCATGCAAGGCTTCAAGCAACATGAACTAGCTATGGGCCGGCATGTGCCTAGCAGGGATGGAAATACTATACCGCTGCTCTCATTTTGTAGATGGGGAAACCGAGGCACAGAAAGGGCAAGGACCATGGCCAGGGTGAGTCTGTGGCAGAGTCAGATGAGAGCCCAGTGTAGAGGCTATTCCCGCTATGAGGTCCATTGTGTTCCTTCTGGGATATTTGGGCCAAACTCACACCTGGTGAAAGCCACTGACGTCCAGGGGGTTACAGTGGGACTGGAGGAGGCTCATCATGATTGACAATATTTCCTAGAATCCTTTGCTGGGTGCTCTCCCAAAGGGTCAGCTTCTCTCTGCTTCCCCTCTCCTGGCAGAGCTGAGATCACTGCAAACTGCATCTGTACACACACACCGCAAACGTACACACACGTAACACACGTACACCTGAGCCACAAGCAAACACTCAGCACCCACCCACCCAGTGTCCAGAGATGCTCAGCCCTGAACCCGACCCCCACTGACTTCAGAGGGAGCTGCAGGTTCTCAGCTCCCTTAGAATGAGGTCAGGTCCCTTCTCAGGTGACATTAGCCAAGCTCTGTGCCTTGGGCTGGTGCAGGGCCCTTTTAGCTGAGACCTTAAGGAAGAAAGTGTATCTATTCTGCGCAGACATTGCAGAGCCCAGGGAAGACCGGGAGGTTCGCTACAGTGTCCTTGGCTGAAAAGTGTCTCCTCTCTGCTGCTGTGCACATGCCCTTGGTGTGCAGAGCAGGGGCCAGCGCCCCTCACCCAGCTGCCTAGCGGGTTTGGGGAGGACTGAGTGGCTCAGTAGGGACCTCAGAAGGAGCTGGGTCGGTTGGCAGTTCCAGGGTCACACTGAAGGAGGGCGGCACCCCACACTCGCTCCTCCCTAACCCCCCGGTTTTGTGCTTTTTTCTACCTCTTTAGGAGCAAAGCCAGGTTGAAGCAGCACGGGTGCCAATGCACCTCACTGCCACTTGGGGGCGCACCGCCTCATGATACAGCCAGGCCCCCAGAGAGCAGGGAAAGTGCCAGGGGATTTCAGGCATTTGCGCTGCTCAGATTTGGGTTTATTTGGGCCACGCTCCCCTACCACCATGGAGAGTCAGCTCTACCGGCCGGCAGAGCTTGTCTGCTCCCAGCACTGCAGGGGCTGCACCAGCTGGAGACCACCAGAGTTTTTTTCCAGGCCCAGGTGCTAGTCAAACAAGCCCCTGGACGATGGAAATGCCGAGGTGCCAGATTTCATTGAATGCTCCTCCTGGCCTCATGCAGCTCCCTGCTCAGCCCTGACAGCCAAGAACCAGGATCGCCCAGCCGAAGCCCAGGGGGCTGCTTGGATCACACCAGCCAATTCATCGCCACCCGCAGCCAATTATCTCCTGAACTCACCCCATCCAAGGCACGCAGCAAGACACAGGGCCAGCCCCTGCAGCAGAGCATGCCAGAGGGGCCAGCGCCCTACCTGGATTCAATTCAAACTGTGCGTCCAGTGGCTTTGAGAGCAACCACAGCCACTGCAGGGGGAGGCCCTCACTGCAGCAGCCGGACCTGTGCCAGATCCCCACTCCTCCCCCTCGCTGCACATGCCAGCCACTGGCCTCCGGTCCAACCCCCTCGTCCTGTCTCCTCGTCACTAGTATGGCTACTCTCCGGGGGCACCCGCCCTCCAGCCATCTCCCCTCCCTGCGGCCCCGGGGAGGTGCTGAGCCCACCCCCTGCCAGTGCACGAGGGATCACGACATGGATACATGCTGAAGTCAATGGCAGCGCTCCCAGCAGCAAGCGGGCAGGAGGGTCAGGGCCTGAGGGGTCAAGAAAAAGTTAGTCGGGATTGGTGGGCAGGTGAAGGGGAAGGCGACTTTCCATCCCCACCCCCATCGTTTAGCAGCAATGATTGACAGGCAGAGCGCTGCGCAGGGCAGGTTTCTGGCCCTCTCCCGAAGACAGCCACGCAGATGGCTACGAACCCAGGCTGACAGGCCAGCTTGCAAGAAGGGTCAGGCTCTTGTGAAAGCGTTTGTACTCGTCTTGAAAAAGCCCCTTTAAAGCAAAACAAACCCAACCCTTGCCCCTCCCCTCCCCCCGGAAAGGGGTGGGAGGGCAGCGATCAGTCACGAAGGTCTAATGCCTTCTCCTGCTAATGCACATTTCAGCCCTTGGCACACACCGGCTCTTCCCAGCTACCCTTGTTACGATGAAGGAACAGCAGCCCGCTGCTCAAAATAAGTCCCTCTCCCTTTAAAAGGGGGCAGATTTGGACCTGGATAAAGCTTTGTGGGTGTTCACCCTCCAAGTGGCAGCTGATTGGGGGTGCCCAGTTTCTCTCTATCACACTGATCTGGCCCGGGGGTCTGAGCCCCTCCCAATCTTTAGTGTTTACTCTCACAACAGTGCTCTTAGCCCCATTTTACAGATGGGGAACCGAGGCACAAGAGGACTAAGTGACTTCCCAGGGCCCACCCATGGTGGCCAAGCAGGAATTGAATCCAGGTCTTCCCCCACAGCCCAGGCTAGTGCTCCGACCATTGGACGAACCTTCCTCAAGACCCCTCAAAGGCACCAGTTTCTTAGAAAGTACCAAGTACCCACAGCACCTCCTGCATTGTGCCTTTGCAACCCCTTAGAACTGGGCCCCATTAAGGGGGTCACCAGTCGTCCCCTCCCCGTCCCATGGCCGCTAGCAAACACAAAGGCTTGTCACGGTCATGTCTGGAATATTTGGGGTGGGGGGGAGGTTTACCAGAGAATTTGTAACAGGGGCTTTGCTCTGGATTAGTGGGGAGTGTCAGGCCCAGGTCCCATGTACGAGAGGTGCGGCTAGGACCCAGCAGGACAGGGTGGAGACTGGAGGATGGGAGCTCTGCATTTCCAAGCCCCTCTAGAAGAGGGGAGTCTCACATCAGCTCCAGGCAGGCTGCCTCCCCGAGGAAACCCAGCCTCGGCTTGTGCACAGAGGCCCTTGCTGGCAGCACTCCCCACCCCACCTGGGCTGCTGGGGAAGAGACGCAGCCACCCCTCCACGCTGCGCCAGGGCCAAGCAGGACCCACGAGCTTCACGCCGCTGAGGCGGGATCTTTCCCTAGAACGTCCCGCTCGGCTGCTGGGTGTCAGGCAGGGGGACGGGATGGTACCAACCGGGAGCCAAAACACTCAAGAGGGAAAGAAGAAAATGGAGGCTCTGCGTTCTCAGGCTGGTTTAATCTGGCTTCGTTCTACACAACTGCAAGGTCATTTCATTTCCCAAACCTTGGCCCCACAGCAATGCGCCCAGAGCTCCCTGCCAAGGCTCCCAGGGCAGGAGGGTGAAATGGCTTCCAGCTCCCCACATGAGTCTCTGGCCTGCCAGGCAATTACAGCTTCCCTCACACTCTGTGCTAGCTGCCAGTCCGACGCCAGGGGCACCCACCATAGCAAAGGGGGCTGGAGCCCTCAGGCTGGGGAGGGGCTGTGCCTGCTAGCGAGGGTGAATCTGGCGGTCCTGAGAAGCGAGGGTGAATCCCAGCCAGGAACAGGGAGGCGAGCAGTATGCAAGCCTCCTTGCCCCACTCTGACCCCATGCCATTCAGCTCCCAGGACACACAGCTATGCTCCACCACCTGGGCAGGACGCAAGTCTTGGCTGTTTCCATGCAAAGGAAGCCTGCAGAATCCAGGGAGATCCAGAGGATCCGGGACAGGGCGGGCCGAGCGTCGAGGGCCTGGTTCACCCTGGGAGTGGAGCCGTCTCCTCCAGGAATTGGAGCGTCATCCCTCTCCCTAGCTGTGTGACTGGGTGCGCCAGGGACTCGGGCAGCAATGGCCAAGGCTGCCCAGCTCTGCTTCCTTGGCCATGCCGCCTCCTCCACCTCCATCCACAGGTGGGAAACTCCAACAAGCAGCCACCTCACAAGATAGTCATTGTGAGCGACGGGGGTGGACGCCCAGCATGAGCCAGATATTGGTGGATTGGGGTTGAAAACACATGGGTGAGATGGGACAGACTCCAAGAGCCCAGCTAAGGGACCCAGGGTCCTGACCTGCAGCCAGATGGACTGGGTGCTCAGCTCCAACCCAAAGGAAAGGGGGAACCGGGCAGCCTGGTTAACTCTTCTCTGGACGGTTCCTGTTCAGCACAGCCCTGGGGGTGAACTCCAGCTTCTCCTTGAGGCTCACCACCTCGGTCAGGTCCTTGCCCGCAATCTCCTGCAGCTTCCTGTCCTCCCGCCGCTCTGAGATGCTCTTCTCCTCCTCAGCTGGCTGCGGGGAGTCACCACGGATGAACCACTCCAGGTGGTAGCCCACTGCCCCCACCACAAAGGCCACAGGGAAGGTGACGTAAGGGGCGTAGGTCCGCACAGTCATCCACAGCAAGGGCCACATGGCGTCGCCAGGAGAGAGCGCCAGATGTGTTCTGGAGAGGGGGGCAGAATCAGTGTCACAGCTGCATGGACCCACCTCCCTCCTAGCCCCTCACCCAAGGGAGAGTCGCCCCCCTCCTTCCCCGCTCCCCAGACAAACCTCCAAGATCCCAAACCATCATCATCCCCCACATGACCTACCCTGCACCTCCCTCCACCCCAGGGGGGCCCCAAAATCACCACTCACACTTGACCGTGCCCCTTGGCCCAGATACACCCAGCTCCAAAGGAACCCGGACTCCAGGCAAGTCACCCCCATGCTGGCACCCCCCAGATGGCTAGATATCTCAGCTACACGTGTCCCCCCCCAAACACCCACCTACGTGGCCATGACCCGCCTTGGCGCATGGGTGTTACACGGGTGGCACTGGTCAAACTCCCACCTGGGGTAGCTCGGCAACCAGGCTGCAGGGTTCCAGGGCAGTTAGGGGGCTGAACCCGCTATGCCAGCCACCTCCCCCCAATCCTGACAGCTTCTGGGGTGCCTAGGGGAAGGCAAGGGGCAGTGAGCCTCTCCAGAGTCTCCTGCTCCAGCAGAGCCCAATCCCTAAGAGAAAGGGCAGAACAGCACCCCCCACACACCCCATTCATCTCCCAGCGCCCAGGACACAGCTGCTGGGAGCCTGCCCCGTGCTTTGTGTTATGCTTGGAAAGCAAGGTATAAACAGGAGCCCGCTCCTGATCCCTCCACCCGAGGGGATAATCAAAGCAGCAGCTGGTTAGTCTGTGGCAGAGAGAGGAAAGGAATTTAGTTCTGGTGGACTCTGGACAGTAACAGCGGCCATACAGTGCATACACAGCTCTGCCGACGAGGGACACACCCCAATCTTTGATCCATGGGCCCCCCGCTATCCCAGCCTCGGGCTCCCCACGCACCCAGCTCAGCCAGGCCCCCCAATCCTGATCCATAGGCCCCCCCATCCCAGCCCCAGGCTCCCCAAGCACACAGCTCAGCCCAGGCCCCCCAATCCTGATCCATAGCCCCCCCCATCCCAGCCCTGGGCTCCCCACGCACCCAGCTCAGCCCAGGCCCCCCAATCCTGATCCATAGGCCCCCCGCTATCCCAGCCCCAGGCTCCCCTTGCACACAGCTCAGCCCAGGCCCCCCAATCCTGATCCATGGGCCCCCCGCTATCCCAGCCCCGGGCTCCCCACGCACACAGCTCAGCCCAGGCCCCCCAATCCTGATCCATAGCCCCCCCATCCCAGCCCTGGGCTCCCCACGCACACAGCTCAGCCCAGGCCCCCCAATCCTGATCCATGGGCCCCCCGCTATCCCAGCCCCGGGCTCCCCCCCAGCTCAGCCCAGGCCCCCCAATCCTGATCCATAGCCCCCCCCCATCCCAGCCCTGGGCTCCCCACGCACCCAGCTCAGCCCAGGCCCCCCAATCCTGATCCATGGGCCCCCCGCTATCCCAGCCCCGGGCTCCCCACGCACCCAGCTCAGCCCAGGCCCCCCAATCCTGATCCATAGCCCCCCCATCCCAGCCCTGGGCTCCCCACGCACCCAGCTCAGCCCAGGCCCCCCAATCCTGATCCATAGCCCCCCCATCCCAGCCCCGGGCTCCCCCCCAGCTCAGCCCAGGCCCCCCGATCCCGGGCAGGGTCCCTCTCCCAGGCTACTCGGCCTCTGCCGCGCCGGGCCCACGAGTCCCGCCGAATCCCGGGGGCAGGAACACGAGGGCGGAGGCTCCTTCCCGCAGTGACCCAGGCGGAGGGCTCGGCCTGCCGCCCCCCCACCTCCCCCGGCCCCGCAGACGGCGGGGGTCCAGGCCGCCCCCCAGCCCAGGGGGGTCCAGGCCGCCCCGGCCAGAGCGCGGCGGGGACGGGGCGGCCCCAGGCCGGATCCCCGCAGCGGGCCCGGCCCCCTCTCACCTCTGCCGCCCGGCCCGGCCCGGCCCCTCTCCCCGCCGCCGGCTTCCGGGCCAGGCCGCGCCGCCTCCGCCTCCCGCCCTCGATGGGCGGCCGCGGAGGCAGGGCCGGAGCCCGGGCCGGCCTCTGCTGGAGAGCGCGGGGCCGGGCCGGGCGCTGAGGCGGGCCCCCAACGTCCCTCCCCCGGGCAGCGTCCGGCCTGCGGCTTGATTTCCAGCAGGGCCCCCCCGGGGAGCCACCCCCCCCCCGTGGGCCGCCCCCTGGGGCCCTTGTGGGCTCGGCGGTGCCCGTTCGCCCCGACCCGGCTGGACTTCGGGGCTCAGGGGCAAAAGAGCCCCGCTCCGTCAAACTCGTCCCTCTCCGAGGCTGGCGGAGCCCTGGCCCCTCCGGGCTGGGATTCAGCCCCGGGGCCTTTGCCTGGGAGCCAGGCTGCCAAGGGGCCCGCGGTGGCCCCGGCCCGGGGTTGCCAGGCCCCTGGATGCGGCTGGAGCCCAGGGGGGGCCAAGCCTCGCTGGGGACCCCTCCTGCCAGGCACCAGAGCCAGGCGCTGCCTGTGGACATTTCACCCAGGCTCTGCCTCGGGTCCAGACCGGCAGCACCGCTTGGGACCAGGGCAGGAGGGTGTCTGTCCGTCCATGCCCGGGGCACTGGGGAGGTGGCCGGCGGGGATGGTTCCTGCAGGAAGCTGGGATGAGGTGGGACGCCCTGGCCAGCTGGCTTGGGGCTTCTCCTCCGCCTTCATTGCCAGGGCCGGTTCTTAGACTCCAGCCAAGGCCGTCTCCAGCGCTGGCCCCCTGCCCTTTCACCTCGCTCCCTGGTCACTTCGGGTGGGTCTAATCGTGGAGCCTCTCCCTCACCCGCCCGGGAGCGGTGTTTGCTGACACGGCGTGAACCTCGGGGCTACACAAACACCCGGTTTGCCCGAGGATGTAGCCCTTGGGTTGGAGACAGTCCCTCAAAACCACCCGAACAGCTTGGGAGTGAAGAGCAGGCTGGGCCAAACCCCTCAGTTCAGACCCAGAGCCCCCCACAGTGGTTCCAGCCCTGGGTTCTCCGATTCACAGATCTGCTGCCCCCTCTCAATACAGAGCTCTGCACAGCTCCTGGGGGCTCAGGCAGGAGGCACTCGCTGTACCTCAACTGGTAAAGCTGCTCCCTGCAGACGCTGTTAGGAGCCCCCTTCCAGTCTCAGCCGTGGTAACATGCAGGGCCCAGCCCAGCTGCTGCAGGGAGCCCTCTGCTAATAAAGTCTGTTCCAGTGGCCCCTTGCAGCAGACTCGGCAAGCCACCTGGCAGCGTAGTGAGTTGTGCAGGAGAGATGCGGTCAGCTCTGCATCTTCCCCAGCATCGTGACAAGCCACCTACCTCCTGCTCCCAGAGAAGAGCAGCAAGTCCCCACCGTGATAAGCTGACTCCAGACTCAGCCCTCCCCTTCCCTTAAACCAGACAAGAAAGTGAGACATAGGACACGAAGGGTCAAAGGTGAGACTAGCACCGGCTGGGAGAATGGTGCCAGGCCCAGAGTAATCAAAGAGTTGTCTTTATTACAGTACGGCTAAGTTTGTTACAATAAAAATGAAACCACATATCACAGTCACTGTACAGTATTGTTTGTCTTACAGAACTTACAAGTGGAAGGGCTTCCTCTTCCAGGCACATTGCTAAGAACTAAAGTGTGGACGGAGGCAGAGAACAGGTGAATCGAGCTGATGGTTGCTTTCCTGGCCGGGACAGTAACAGCAGCGTATTGGAGAGTGTTGGATGCTGAGCAAGGAGTCTCCTGCCTTTCCCCTCCTCCAGCTGGGCCAGATCTCACGCTGCTGGGAATTTTTTTCATGATTCTGTGTTCCAGGATATGCTGGTTGGATTCCCCCCTCCTTCCCTTTAAACATCTATTTTAATGTAAAAAGAAAAGGAGGACTTGTGGCACCTTAGAGACTAACAAATTTATTTGAGCATAAGCTTTCGTGAGCTACAGCTCACTTCACCGGATGCATCCAATGAAGTGAGCTGTAGCTCACGAAAGCTTATGCTCAAATAAATTGGTTAATCTCTAAGGTGCCACAAGTCCTCCTTTTCTTTTTGCGAATACAGACTAACACGGCTGCTACTCTGAAACCTGTTATTTTAATGTAGTAACCCGAGGCCATGATATGATTCTTTCAAACCCTCCCAACTGGACAGGCACATAACAGAGGCTGGGGGAGGGTTTAGCACCAGGTCATGGTATGGATCCCATCCAAGGGGGGGATGTAAAGGCCCCAGGGGTTAATGGTGCATTGCTCTTGGTAGAATTAAGCTCTCCTCCGTCCACCTGCCCAAGCCAGTATGGTTGTGGAATCTCCCATCTCTCAGTACATCCTACCTGTCCCAGGTGCTACAGGGAGGAATCCTAGCATGCACCAGGCAGGATGTCCCCTTGGGCTGAAATTTACAATTGGCACCTGAGGGACCCAGTCAGGGATCAGGGACTCCATAGTGCTAGGTGCTGTATGCTCATGAAAAAGACAGTCCCTGCCCTAGAGATCTGGCCGCCTAGGCTGTGGCTGGTGTCACTGCTCCTTGCCTTGCTGCTCCTTTAGCCACTCTGCTTGGGATCTTTCCTCCCCTCTTCGTGTCTGAAGCAGGGCGTCTCCAAGATAGCTGAGTGGGCAGGGAGCAGGAGCTGGTACAATCATAGGGTGGCGAGAAGACGAGGGGGGTCCCCCTTGAAGGGTTTCACAGTGCAGGGGGCTCCCCAGTTGGAAGGAGGGACAATGTGAGAAGGCAGCACTGAGTTTTTTCCTTGACCTTTCAGAGTGGGTGGCTTGGCAACCCCGTTTTCCCAGGGCAGGACACCTGGCTCAGTGGGTGAACTCTCTGCTCCCCAGCCTTACAGACATCAGGGCAGGTGGAACAGACTGTACTTTGGGGGGAGGAAGGAGGGGTCTGCACGGCTGGGGAGCAGAATGAGTGAAAAGGAGAGGAAAGACAACTCAGGACAACCAGCAGGGGAGAACTTGGACCATCTGATCTCCAAGATCCTGGCGGGTACCCACCCTACAGGGCCCCTCTGTTTATGCCCTATCCCCCTACCGCCTCACCTGAGAGGGCCTAGCCTGGTCTGAAATCACCCCCTCCATTCGGCACGCTCAGGACTACAGCCTGGTGGAGAAGGTGCCCACGATGGGTAATATGAGGAGTGTGGAGCCCAACCTTTGGCTTGTGTACAGGTAACGATGCGCAGAGGGGGCGGTGGACAGCAGGCTCCCCAGGCATTTCATCTATATGCTGTTAGGAGTGATGGCTTCCTGCTATAGGGGGGTCACCCCATGAGCCCTGAAGAAAGCTATGGCAGCCATGCCAGGAAGAGGAGGGCATTCCCTTTACGGCTTCACAAAAGAGAGGGCACCTCCTCTAGTGTAGCATGAGTGTGAGGGCATTCCTCATGATACCCGGGAGGACAGGGCACTGCTAATGCCATACCATGGAGGATGGGATGCCCATGGAGGAGGGGGTTCTTGTAATGCGATATCCTATCTGCCACTCTCACAAGCAGGAACTCAGCTTGGGGAAGGGCAGACCCACATTCACGTCTTGGGTCGGTCTCCAGTGACAGACTGGAGCTTTGGAGTCGTGCCTCTGGGCCCCCTGTGCCTCCATTTCCCCATCTACTAAGGAGAGCGGCACTTACCCTGCCTCCCAGGGGGGCTGGCGGCTAGGGAGCCGGTGCAGCTGCTGGAGGTTATCGTCACTGAGGTGGTCTGAACAGAGCAGGGTCCCAATCCTCCATCGCCCCCCCGGGCCCATCTTTTACACCAGTGCAAAGCGGGGGTAGGCACCACCGAACAGAACGGCTGCATTTCACACTCGCTTTGCTGCGAGGTAAAGGACTGCATGAGGCGCAGGGTGATGACCCACAGGCCACGAGCCAGAGCCCCACCACCATGGCAACCTCCAGTTCCACTTGCCCTTCCCTGCCAGGGCTTTGCTTTTCCAAGTCACTTTCCCAGCTGGCGTTAGTGACAGTGACTGACCGGGGAGGGCGGTTCCTGGAACGCAACAACCAGGAGCTGCTGTCCCTGGGCACTATTGGCCAGATAGAGACTGAAGACTAAAGCCTCAGGCTGAACCTCCAGGCCTTGGCCCTGCCGGACTCTCTTTGTGGCCTAACCCGGCTGCCAGCAGCGAGGGCCGCTGCCTTGCTCGGTAGGGCACCATGCTGCGAAGGAGGGGCCCTGTCCTGGCGTCTGTGAGCCCAGATGGGTCCCTGGGATGGGAGCAGCAGGTGACACCGAAAGCTGCTCCTCAGCAGAGGAGAACGTAGGCTGCACCACTGGGCGGCAGGAGCCAAATGGAGGCTTTGGCAAAGCCAGAGGGCTTGGGTAGCCCCCCGCAGGGCAGCTGAAGGGCAGGGAGAGGGGCTGGGGAGCGTTTGTGATGGAGTGAGAAGGGCAAAGAGGCAGTGGGCCTGGCTGGGATTGGCATGGCTCGCTCCTGAGTGCCTACCGCTCCCGCTGGTTTGCACTGTCGGGGAAGGGCTTCTCTATGGGCTGGGCAGCCAGGGCCGGCACGGCAAGCCCCATCGCAGCCCGGTGGGAATAAAACCTCCCGCTCCAATGCTCAAGGGTCCACATGGTGAATGCAGTGTCACCTTTGCCAGGGCTGCTATTGCACAGGCGTTCTCAAGCTTTTCTGTACCAGAACCCACTCCCACCTGGCTGAGATCCCCACCCCATTCAGCACCAGGGATTTGTGACCCTTGGGTTGAGAAGCCCTGAAACAGAGGCTCTGGAATCATCCTATAGAACAGACGTGGCAAGTAACAACGAACCCGCATTTCACCCCACAGGCGGCCCCCGAATCCCCCTCTCCCCTCGACATTCAGACAGGCCAGCTCTCTCCACAGAAACGTCGTTCCCAAGTACCCTCGCCTGCTGGAGCTCCGTCTGTGCGGTTAACAGCTCCAAGGGTTTTCTCACCTTCCTTAACACTGGTAAATACAACGCAAGGAGCCGGCCCAGCAACACCCTGGGGACGCAACAGCAGGTTCCTCTTCCTCCTAAGGCAAGATGGGTTGTCAATGGCACGTTTGCCATTCCCTGCCATCTGCTCTGGCCTGGCCCCTGGGGACAGCTGTGTCTTTAAACCAGATGCAGATGGGTCAAAACAGTGCCCTGCACTTGGCTCAGCACCAATACCCTGCATGGTGGATTGGTCACTTGAAAGGCCAGGCTTGTTTCTTTGCCCTGTCTAAAGGGAGAGGGGACAGCAGCAAGGGAAACCCGAAACCAACCCCAAAGACCTCAGTTTCTGCCAGCCCTTGCCATTGCTAGACAGAAACCAAACGCTGCTCCAAAGACACCTGCTCCTCCCGCCGCCCAACCTCACCCTCGAATTTCACTCCCAGGGTAAACTAGTCAGACCAGCAGCTGGTGGGGAAATCAAAGAGGGATGGAAAATAAAGTGACCATCCAAGTTTTGACCTTCTCCTAGCCTTCCGTGGCGAGCGGACGCACGCCAGCGCAGGCCCAGGATTCACGCTTGCAGGAAGGGAAAGAAAGAGAGAAAGGAAGAAAGAAGAGAAATCATAGCATATTCTTACTGACGATGTAAGTGTAGGGAAAGCAGGGGCTGGTTTTGCGGCTGCCATGGATTTCCTGATGATCTGATCCCAGTCTCACCAGCAGGAACACAGCTGTGGTCATGTGTAGTTTTTGTTTTATTCCTTCGGTTATATGTATATATGTATAGAAGTCTATGACCATGGATTCCCCGAGGTGCCCAAGCGAGAGGCAGGGATGGGACTGAACCATGGTGGGGGTGCAGGGAGGGACTGCCCCTCATGCCTGCCACGGCCCGAAGCCTCATGCCAGCAAGGGAAGCTGGCTCGCCGGGCTGCCAGGAATGGTGACTTTGGCACAGGTTCCCCCTCTGGTGCAGCATGGAGCTCGGCGGCGTTTTCCCCCCCGCAAGACGCTTTGTTTGCATTGAATTGAGGAAATGGGAGAAGTTAAAGGTGGCACGACCGTGGGGGGGAGGACACACGGAGGTGCGGGGGTGGGCCTGCCTGCCCCCCAATCAGCTGAGCTGGGGGGGGCCCCTCCCTCTCCCATATAAGGGGAAAAGCAGGAGAAGAGGGGGGACATGAGGAGAGGGGGACACAAAGGGGGGGAGGGCTGCAAGGAGCAAGGTACAAAGAGATGTGAAAGGAGGGTACAGGGAAGGGGAGATGGGCTTGGAAGGGGACAGGGCTGCAAGAAGGAGGGGAGATGGAGGGCAGAAAAGGCTTCAGGGCAGACAGGGGGCTCAGGGAGAGGGCAATGGGGAAAGGCCAGGAAGGGGCTTGTGAGCAGGCAGGGTCAGGGAGAGCCCTGCCCCACGGGGGGAGCATGAGGGCAAGACAGAACCAGGCTCGTGTTCATTCGCCGTCGGATCCATGAATCATAGATGATAAAAAGTCGAGAAGCTGTGAGTGGGCCGAGAGCTGCCCCCGGGGGTCCCTGCGGCTCGGGCCCTGGCCATCACAGTGAGCTATGTACTCTCTCTGTACGGTGTGGGTAGAAAAGCCAGGGCTCCGTTCACAGCCTGGTCTGGGCCTCGGGGATGTAGATCTCGATACTGTCTGCGCTCTCGGTGGCTGAGTTCTGGCGGAAGGAGGCAGCTCTCTTGGCCGCCAGGAGCCTTTTCCTGGCTTCCTGCCTCTGCCGGTCGACGGAGTCCAGGGAGCGCTCCTTCACCGGGTGCACCTTGGAGCGCGGCGGCTTCTTTGGTATCGGAGGAGGGACCTTCTTCTCTTCCTGTGAGACAGACAGACAGACAGACAGAGCAGGGCTTAGAGGGGGTTCCGGGAGGTGCTGGACGTGCCGTGTTAGACAGCATGTGCCAGGGGTGCGCACCTGTGTGTGAGTGTCTGTGTTCATCTGGGTGTGTGGGGGGGGATGTACGCACAGCTGCATGATTGTGCGTGAGACCATGCAAGGGTGCACACAGTGGGCGTGTATGCACATCCAAATGTGTGTGTATATCCGTGTGTGCATATTCGTATGTGTGTCCATCTGTCTGTGTGTGAGACCATGCAAGAGAACACACATTTGAGTGGGTGCCTGTCTATACACTCTGATGTCTACAAGAATCCATACGTGTATGTGCAGCTATAAACAGATGTGTGCTTGCACATCTGTATGCATCTGCGTGCATCTGCGTATGTGCACGCATCCCAGTGTTTGTGCGTAGGTCTGCATCCATATCGGAGTGCATGTGTCCACGAGCAGATACCCCCAGGTGTGTACCTATCTCTATACAGAATAAATGGGTCAAATTCTGTGCTGACTGACACTCTGTTCAATTCCACCAGTCCCTGGGGCTGAGCGCAGTCCCTGGGGTTGAAAGTCAGCACAGGATCTAGCCCAGTGCCTGCGTACATGCTTCTTGTGTGCTGTGTTCACACAAGGCAAACGAGGGCTGCATTTTCTGCCTGCGACACAGGCTGGTGATTGTGCTTGACCTTGGGAGCATTCCACCAGGGTTTGAATCAGTGTGATGGATGGCAGGGCTGCCAGGGGGTGAGACGACTGGAATTGCTTTGGTTTGTCCTACGAGGTGCGTGTGTGCACAGAGGATATCTGTACCTTTGAAGATAACATCAAACAGAGGACACGCCGTAGCTGTATGTGAAAAACACAGGAGAGAAAAGGGCTCTGTTTGTTCGGGTTCTTTTTTTTTTTTTTTTTTAAAGTGTTAACTAGAGATGCCTGTTGATTTTGCCTGGCACAGTTCAGCAGTGCCAGCTCAGGAGCAGAAGTGTGCATGGAAAAGGAAGAAGGTAGCTGTGATCATAGATCTCTCGCGTCCCCGACGTTTCCCCCAGGAAGTCCCTGAGACACAAGCCAGGACGGGATCTGCATAGCAGTGACTTCGAGCTGAGCTCAGCCGAGCTCCCACGAGCTCTGCCAAGGGGGAGTCTACACTTTCGGCGGTGTGCAGAGTACAGGGAATGCCACCGGCAGCAGGGAGGCAGCGGGACACTAAGTGGTAAAAATAGCCGTGTAGACGCGCAAGGCTCTGCTTGGGCATGTAGAGAGCCGGACAGGGTATAGACCCTGGGGGTTCAGGTGCGTGGGGCACTCTGCTCTACCCACCTAAGCTGTCCCTCATTGTCTACACTGCTGTTTACACCCACGCTAGCTGGGCATGCAGTATCTTCCCTGTCCACCTACCCTGACCGGAGTCGCTCCCCGTGACTCACAAAGGCTCCATCTGCAGGCAGGGTCTGAGACAGACGGGCTAGGGATTTGCTAACTGGTCCTGGCCATGCTCACAATCTGGCAGGGCTCCCACCAGCTCGCCCCTCTCTGTCCCACTGCTGCAGTAGCCCAGTCCTGGTCATCCCCCACCCCAGCCCCACGAACCAATGAAAGGGGAAGAGAGAGTTAATCTCTACTAAGACGTGTGATGGAGCCCAAGGTTCATCTGTTTCCTGGCCTGCCCCTTCTCCCCGCAAAAGGGGGCTGAGGACAGTATCAGGGATGCAATGCAAGGAGACGCTCCATAATCCACACACACACTGGAGACGCCAAGGACCACAGCTTTCGCCTGGAGCTGGGAAACAGCTGGAGTGCCGCAAGACAGAGTGCTCCCTCTCAGCACTTCCCTGGTTCCAGCCAGACCCACTTCTACCCATGGCGGCTGGGACCCAACTCCTCTTTTTCTCCATTCTTTTTGCGTGATGGTGCTCGAATGCTTTGGGGAACACACCCGACATACACAATAGATCCGATTATGTCCCCTCCCACTCTCCCCCAACAAACCCTCTGCTCTTCTGTGAAGCCATGAATACACTTGCTAACAATGCCCCACATGTAACAACATAAGAGCTGCCATTCTGAGTCAGACCATGGTCCACCTTGCCCAGTATCCTGTCTCCAACAGTGGCCCACACTAGAGCTTCAGGAGGAGTGTACAAAACAGGGCAATTATGGAGTGATCCACTCCTGTCTTCCACCCCCAGCTTCAGGCAGTGGAAGTCTAGGGTCATCCAAAATATGGGGTTGCATCCCTGACCATCTTGGCTAATAGCCATTGATGGACTCATCCTCCATGAACTTTTCCAGTTCTTTTTTTAATCTAGTTATATTTTTGGCCTTCACAACATCCCCTGGCAGTGAGTTCCATAGGTTAGTTGTGCATTGTGTGAAAAAGTACTTCCTTAGGTTTGTTTTAAACCTGCTGCCTCTTAATTTCATTGAGTAACCCCGGATTTTTGTATTGTGTGAAAGGATCAAACACTTCTCTACTTTTTACATGCCATTCATGATTTTAGAGACCTCTAGCATATCCCGCCTTAGTCATCTCTTTTCTAAACTGAAGGACCCTAATCTTTTTGGTCTCTCCTCATAAGGAAGTCATTTCACATCCTTGATCATCTTTGTTGCCCTTCTCTGAACCATTTCCAGTTCTACTATATGCTTTTTGCAATGGGGCAAACAGAACTGAACACCATATTCAAGGTATGAGTGCACCATGGATTCATATAGTAGCATTATGACATATGCGGTTTTCGTTCTCCAGCTGGAGGCCAACAAAAGCTGATTTTGTGCACTGTGAAGTGACAGCTACCCCACCCCCACACCCGAGCTGCACCCCCCACCCTTCTCAGCCAATTGGCAGAGACGGTCTTATCCTCCTACCTTGGGCTCGATGAGTTTCCATCCGTTGGCCTTGAGCTGCTGAAGCTCTGCAAACTTCAAGCTGACGTCCTCGATGGACAGCTGCAGGAGGTCCCAGAATCCAGCCAGGTCTTGAAAGGTGGGCATGGGGAATGCATTAGGGTCCTTCCAAAGAGGGAGAAGACAAGGCTGGTTAGTTCCTTACATACCATGGGGTGCAGAGGACCCCAGGTCTTCCATCACTTCCCTGCTCAAGCTGATGAGGAGGAGAGCTGGGCTGTCTCGGCCTTATTGGATTAAAAATGTGTCCCTTAGCAGGGCTGGGACAAAATGCTGCAGGGAAATAAGAACCAGGCTGGGCTTTCAGCCCAGAGGCCGAATCAGCTCCCGACGTGGGAGAAGGCTGGGAATTGTTATAACTGTTTAATTAAAAGGCTGGTGCAGCTGTTGCTTTCAGCCAGAGATGAAATAACCAAATCGCCAGAAGAAGGTGCCATTTATTCTCTACAGTACCTTGGTTCCAGCCTTAAGAGGGTCGGGGTGAGCCTCCAACCCTTCAGGTAGCACCTCCAAACGGAACCATCGCCAGCTGTGCAGAGTGCCATGCACCCGCTTCAGTCTCCAGGGGACCTGCTGCCGCCTCCGCCCAGTTGCCCGTCACGCAGAACACATCCCTGGGAAACCCATAAGGAAGGAGGAGGCGCTCACCATGTTCTGCTGGCAGAGTCGGAAAAACTGCTGCACTTTCTGGGACATCAGGAGCTGGGTGCTGCCCACGGCGCTCCGGATCTTCTCCAGAACTGGCAAGGCACACAGGAAAAACCAATGCGTGAGGAATTTGCTAACGACATGCGGGCTTGATTACCTCCCCCCGTGCCCTCCCAGCTCCAGAGATCACGAGCCCTGGAGAGTATTTCTTGCCACTAATGTGCAGGGCAACCACTGGCTCGGGTTCCAGAGGGGATATACCCCATATCCGTTACTCAGGGCTGCACAACTCCAGTCCCCGCCAAGCCCTACGTGAATCCTGGGTTGCCCTGCACCCCCCTTCCAGTCTCACAGCCCTGGCTGACTCACTCTCCTCCGGCAGGTCGTAGTCCTCAGCCTCCCGCTCCATCTGCTGGCACCAGCCTTCCATCTTCTCCACCTCAGCCTGCAATAGCTTAATGAACCACTCCCCGTCTCGGTGGCAGGGAGAGGCCCTGCCGGAGTCGGGGAGGCTGCGGGAGCCCCTTTCAATCCAGGAGTCCCGCCGGGGCACCTCCACAGTGTCATACTGCATCTGGTAATCCTCCCGGTAGGCCCACTGGCCCTGCGTGTGCACCGTCTTGAACACCGAGTACTGTCGGCTGGACGCGTCTGGCTCCGAGGAGTGCCGCTGGAAGGGCCGCCCGAACTGCAAGGCCTTGTCCTCTGTGGCTACCGACAGGCCCGTGAAGCCTTCCAGCTCCAGGTCGGCCTGCACGCCAGCCGTCACGCTGTTTGAGCGTTTGAACCGGGCCCGCCTCGGGACAGGGAGATAAAGGGGTTATGGGGACGGACTCCCGTTCCCACAGCAGGGGCAGCAACCGCATTGCAAAGCATTCAAACCACAACAGCGGGGCATCGGCACAGCTGCAGGAGCTCCAGGACTGGAATAACGGGGAGCTGTGGGTTGGGACTGAGGGGCAGCGGCAGAGCTGGGGGGCTGGAATAACGGGGAGCTGTGGGTAGATTGGAGGGAGGCAAGCTGCAGGAGCCAGGACGGAATAGGGAGCTGTGTTGGGACTGAGGGGCAGAGGCAGAGCTGGGGGGCTGGAATAACGGGGAGCTGTGGGTTGGGACTGAGGGGGGAGAGTGGGGGGGAAAAGGGCATGGGACTGAGGGGCAGCGGCAGAGCTGGGGGACTGGAATAACGGGGAGCTGTGGGTTGGGACTGAGGGGCAGCGGCAGAGCTGGGGGGCTGGAATAACGGGGAGCTGTGGGTCAGGATTGGAGGGCATCGGTAGAGCGGCAGGAGCTCCAGGACTGGAATAATGGTGGCGGGGAGGTTGTGAGGCGGAGGGATTGAGGGACAGCAGCAGGGGCTCCGGGACTGGGATAACAGGGGGCTGCGGGTCAGGATCGAAGGGCATCAGCAGAGCTGTGTATGGGACCTGGAGCTGGAGTAGTGTGTGTGTGTGGTGGGGGGTCTAAGGAAACCCGCCCAGTTGGAGTGTAATCCCTAGTTCAGAGCTCACTGACTGTAAACCCCATGCACTGGGGCTGTGCTGCCCCTCCCCACCCTGCCCAGCCGGGACACCTCTCCCCTTGCAGGAGCAGAGCAAGGGGCCGGCCAGCTCCCGGGACAGGGAAGCTGCGCTGGGAGGCTCACAAGCTGTTGAGCTCTTGGCTGTCCGTGGGGACAGCCCGCTAACAGCCGCTTCCTCGTGTTCCCTCATTTCAATGCCTTCTCTCCTGCTTGCGCACGCTAGCCTGTTTCTATGGTAACAGGCCCTGGATGGATGCTGAAGGACGGGGACGGGAACACGCGCTCAGGCCCCTTGTTAAGCAAAGAGAAGGAACACTGTAGAGTTCCCCATAGATGCCTCGTCCTCAGTGACTCGGCTATGGGTGGGAAGGAGTGGGGGAGGCAGGGAGGGTGAACAAGCAGGTCCAGAATAGCCCAGCCTCTGAGGGGCTTGGGTCAGAGCTGGACAAGCCCCAGTGGGCCACGTGAAGGGCCCCTTTGATGGCCATCTCTAGGGGTTTCAGCCGGATTCCACTTGGCATCTCAGCTTCTTTGTCTGAACAGCTGAGTCATAGCCATGCCTCGTACCCAGCCTTGCTCAGCTGCAGGTCCAGGTACTGATGGTCTCAGACAGACCCTACAGAACCGTGCTTCCAGTTCTGGATCAGAACCAGGGGCCTCTATGAGGGGCAGATCCAAACCCCCAGAACCGAACCCCAGATCTGGATCAGAACCGAAACCCAGATCTGGATCAGAACCACGGGCAGATAGAAGCTGCTGATCTCCAGGCACGAACACATCCCATAGGGATCAATCCTAGAGTCACTGCTCACACCTGCAGCAAGAGGAAATCCAGACAGCCTCAAATCCCTCAATACCTGCCCAGTGCGTAGGTTAACACATGCTTTGTGACGGCTGGTGTTCTGGCATATCAATCAGGGCCCCAGGGTAACAAACGTGCTGATAAAACAGGAAGGGGCCATAACAGGGTACCAGAGCCTCTGGCCTCTTGGGTGCAGATCTGAATCTATTAGCAGTGAGCAAAAGTTGTGATGACTTGAGAGCCACCTGCTGACCTGTGTGACGCGAGTTTGCTGGGCCTCAATTCATTTTGCAGCGGACGAGTGCCCACAGTACAACCTTCCTGCTCACCACAATCAGCGGCTTCTTTGACAGCTGACCAACCACGCAGCTTAATGGTCCAGAGACTGACCTACCTACCCATCCCTAGGATGACATCAGGTCAGGGATGAGGCATGTTGCGCAGGGAAGCTTGCCCAGCTGCTGCCTGCATTGCCCATTGATTTATGAACTAGCGAGGAAACACAGCTGTACTTAGCAGTCAGCATCAGAAGCTGCCAAGCTCTTGGGATGCTCAGGAGAAGACGCGCACATTATGAATGTTTAGTTTGGGGGAGGCATTGTGTGAAAACAATCAAGCCGGCACGGCAGCTGCGCTAAGCCCTGCTCCTGGAGGGATGGAGCGATAAAAGCTGCATTTAACCAGCCGTACCTTTTGTCTTCTTCCACTTGCACCCCGATGGAGTGGAATTCCCTCTGGCTCCTGCTTTCTGTGTCGGAATCAGATATAGTCTCAACCTGCGGTGGTGATCAGAGGGAGAGCATGTCGGGGAAGAATCGCTGCACAGCCTCGGGCGCAAAAGACTCATGTTTTTTCATTTCCCCCAGCAGGTGCAGCGGCAGTGGGAAAGCCAGAGAAACAAAGGGCTGACGAAAGCCATGGCCAGGCAGCTCCAGGAGCATCCAGCACAGAGATGAAGGGCCATGGAGACTGGAGTCCCCTCTCGCCTTGTTGGTCAAGGATGAGGTATGGGCGCGGGGCCATGGCAGGAAGGACCCTTGGGCTGCCACTGCCTGTTGGCAAGACCATTTCATGCCAATATGATGCCGCTTGCAACAGGCCTTGGCAACGGCTGCAAAGCCAGGTCGTGGTGGTGAGACCTTGGTCTGGAGCAGCCCAAGATTCACTGCGGGTAAGAGAAGGGAGGGCTGAATGGGAGGCAAGTCACCATGCATTGGGACCCTGCACGGGGCCCCAGTGGCCAAGCCTACAAGTACCAGTGCTGGGGCCCCTAGGAAGCCCGGAGTCATAGCATTGGCAGCTGGATTCACATGGGCTTAGGCCCCGGTTCAACACTGGGAGGCTCTGGGAAGAGTGACACCTACCTGAACTCCGATGGATGGGCGCCATTTCCTCTGCCGTGCCAAGCTCCTCAGCTCTTCCCGGCCTGGGATGGCCTTGATGATGAGTGTGGACGGCTTGGGAGAGCCCCGGGGCTGGACGGGAGGCAGATCCAAGGAGATGGCTGTCACCTTGGAGTTCTCCAAGCTCTCTGTGGAGTTGCAGCGAGCCACGGCGTCTTTGGACCACGAGGGGCTCCGGGCGACCTCGCTGGGGAGGTAGCTCTCGTGGGTGGACTCAGTGCTGCTCTGCGCCGTGACTGAGATGAGGGGCTTGGCTTTGATTCCTGGAGGGAGGGGCGGTGGTGCTTTTCGGTAACTGAAGGCTGTTGTGGGAGAGACACACGATAAAAAGTCACATGAGAAAGAGACACGTTCTCATTTCCTAACGCGAACACCGGCCAGTCCCACCTCTTCCTCCTGCATCCCCATGGGGTGCCAGGCCTAGTGGTCAGATCCCTGGCTGCTGTGAAGCTGAGCGACCCTACTGAAGTCAGGCCCGTTTACACCAGCCAAGGAATTGGCCCTACACTGCTGCACCACCAAAGGTTGCACCACCCCACATGCCCTGCCGGTTAATTGTGAGCTTGTGGCAAAGGGGCATAAAAGCTTCATTTGCTTTTGGACCAGCTGCTTGGCCAATTCATCCACCAAACCCGAAGGGACCAGACGACCCTCAAATGAGAGGGAAGATCAGTGTGCTCTTGTGCGGCACAAGTCATGAGGCAGGCAGGCAGGCAGAAAAAGGGAGAGAGAAATGAGAGAAGGAGGAAAACAGAAAGACAGGAAGAGAGGAAGGGAAACCCGAAATAAATGCAGAGAGGAAGGTGGAGACCAGGCAGGAGGATTGATGGACAGACAGACAGATAGGGCTGTTGGCTGGCTGGAGCGATGCCCAGTCGGACACACTTAGCATCCCCCAGGGCCAGCCACACGAGCTGCCCCCTCAGTGAGGCCGATGTTTCCAGCCGGCCAGAGAACTGCCCTGTGGCTGGCAGCACCCACAGCCTCACGGCGGGTGAGCCCACGGGCAGCTGAGCCCGGCCCTTGGAGGGCATCCCAGAAAGCCGTTCAAGATGGCAGCAAAGTGCGGCAGTGGGAAGCTGGAGTGGTGAGACCACTGGGTGCCACCTATGGGAAGGGGGAGGTAGGTGGGCAGGTCCCTCTACGGGGAGGTGGGGGAAGTCCCTCTATGGGAAGGGGTTGGCAGGGGGGTCCCTATGTGGGAAGAGGCAGGAGTTGATGGGGGTCCTTCTGTGGGAAGGGGAGGGATTGGTGTGGGGGGTCCCAACGTGAGACGGGAGAGACGGGAGAGGGTATGAAGGGGGTCCTGCATGGGAAGGGGGAGGGGCTGGTGGGGGGTCTCTGTGGAAAGGGGGGAGGGGCTGGCAGGAGGTGTGGGAAGGGGAGAGGCGCTCCGGGGGGGTCCCTCTGTGGGAAGGGGCTGGGGTGGGTGTGAGGACCCTCTGGGTCCCGGCAGGATTGCCCACCCCGCCCACCCCTGCACGAGTGAAGGGCCCCTGGGAGCAGCGCCATGTGGCAAGGGCTGGGACTCACAGGTGCTGGGCTTCAGGATGCTGCTGGTGATGGCTGGCCTGGGCGGGACGGACATGGAGAAGAGCGAGAGGCAGTCGTCGTCCTGCGAGCAGCCCGCCTGGATGGCTCGCAGGTAGCTGTGGCTCCGCATGCGGAAGCAGCCCGGCAGGTCCAGCGCCTCCACGGCCTGGGACTCCACCTCGCCAAAGACGGACTCACAGACCGCCTCAAACTGGTGGTTCAGCTCCTCGTTGATCTGAGGGGAGAGTGGGGCAGATGAGGGGCCTGGGCAGCTCTGACAGGGTCCAGCGCCCCCCGCTCCATCCTCCATGGAGATACCAGAGGGGCTACAGGGAACGACTCGCCCTGGCCCCCGCTGGTGGCTCAAGGACTAGAGATGATACTGATATATCGGCCGGCACAGCGAGGGCCCTGCATCCACCCCTCCCTAGTCACCCAGGCCCTTCGACTCCAGCCAGCCAGTTCCCTCCCCCTGGCTGGATTCGACCCAGCAACCTAGAGAGGAAAGTCTGCCAGTCCCATTGCCAGGCTCCCGCCACCTGCCAGGGCCTCTCCCCTCTGCTGCAGCTCTTGAGCCCTGGTACCAGGCAGCTACTTCCTCTGGTGCACGAGAATCTGCCATGAGGGAAAGGCCCGACTGATCGTGCCGGGCTTTATTTCAGCGCAGGTGCTGCCTGGAGCCCAGCCGTGACCCACTGAGGGGGAGGCGACTCCCAGTCAGGGTTTCCATCCATTGCAGCATGTCCCTGGCGCACCTAGAAGGTCTCTCTCTACCTCTGCTCTTGACAGAGAGCAGACAGACATCACTGCCCAAAACCTGGTGCCGGGCCCAGGAGTTAGCACTGTGACAGCAGGGAGCCCTGGGGTTTGCTGGGGAAAAGCGGCACTGAGACAGTCATCCAAATTTAAACCCATTTTTGAGGGTAGGCGAAGTCTGTCCGGGCAGCACTGAGAGAAGCAGCACCGGGATTACGGGAGAGACAAGCTCTTCCCTAGATGTTACTAGCCAGGCCTGGCACAACCAAGAGGTTCAGAGAAGCTTCCGAACCTTTGGGGAAGCTTATCCAAACCAACTCCTGAATTATCACAGCATTACACTCCAGTTACTCTTTGGTGCTGGATGGCTCAGGGAGACGGTAATAGGGGCCAGGGGAGCCTTGCGCTACTAGGTCGTTGGTTTGAATCCAGTTCAAGTCACGAGTGTCCTCCAAAATCATTAGCACCTGGTGCTTGTTTGATGCCTTCTATGAGATGTATCAGTGGGAGAGAAAACCTCGGCTGGCGAAAAATGTGGAGCTCAGCTTGGCAGAGAGGCTAACAGGTGAAAGGGCCCCGGAGGCTGATATCCCCTCACCTCTTCTGCAGGGACTCAAGATTGTAGTGCTTTGGAAGGGCAGCCTGGGGCAGCTTACCTGGCCACTGTCCGGGCTGCACTCTTCCTACAGACGCATCAGTTGGGTACCGGGCCCTGGGGCTAACATGCATGCAGAAGGAGGGGCAGATAAACAGCCTATGCTGGGAGCAGAGAGGAGGGGCCGAGAAGAGAGCCGCCTGAACACAGGGGCCTCTTGTGGCTAGTCAAGCCCCTGGGAAGACATGAAAGCACTTTGCATCGCCACCAGTGGGAGGGTCCCGGCCGGCCCAGGCAGGGCTGCGAAGGAAAGGCCGGTAGCATGCAGACAGCGCTCTGCATTACTGTATGAGCGGAGAAAGGACAGCGCTGGCCGGACAGGGAGGACACACAGGCAGCATGTCTGGGGGGGAGCAGAAGCCAAGCCATTGCGGGGAAGGGGCAGAGCCTCGCTGGTGCATGCAGGGAAGCCTGCCACCTCCCCAAGAATCAGCGTCCCCGTGCTGCAGATTAGCACATGCAATGCAGGGGTGGGGGGGACTAGCCCCCCGGAGTGGGGAGGTCAGGTCTCCATATGGCACAGAAGGGTCAGTGGAGAGCGGCCAGGCCTGTCCCGCCTCTCGGACACTGCTGCCACTTGGGAACCTTGAGTCCCATGCCCAGCTCCGGATGGCTCCACTCGGCTCCTCGCATGCAGAGCTCTCCTCAGCTCCAGCCACTCATTCAGAAAATCCAGCCCCATGGAGGGTGCTGAGTCCGCCCAAACACCAACCGCCCCCGCACTGAGCATATGAACTCCAGCAACTGAGGGCACAGGACAGTCAGGGCATGAGAGCCAGGCACAGCAACGGGCACGGCCCACCTTACCTGGCCGGTGGTGAAAGAGCGTCCGTAGCCCTGTCCCCGAGGGTGCATTCTGGGCGGGGTGCAGCAGCTGGGACAGTTACAGATATATGAATCAGAATAGTGCCTACTTGCAAACCTAATGAGAGACAGTGGGGGAAAAAGGATTCGGACCAAAAGCAACACGTTCAAGCGGAACATTTGGAAACAGCCCAGTGACTGGGCTCCTGTCCGCAGCTGCTGCTGCCCCCTGAACCTGGCAGATCATTGTCCCGCCCCCTACCCGCCCGCCATCCCAATGCGAGCGCCCCACCACCTCTACAATCTCCCCAGGCAGCCCCGGAGCAAGGAGGGGATTCCCGGAGCCCTCCACTTCTGGTTAGGCTGGGCTCACAGAACATCACCCACACCCACAGCACAGGAAGGTGTCGATAAGCAGGGCAGGAGGCAGACCCATGGTGGCAGTGTGGGGCTGGCAAAGAGGCAAGGCCACTGAGAGAGACAGAGCAGGTTAACCAGCAGGTGTGTCCTTACCTGGGCCACCAACACCTGAGAGCACTACAGCCTTCTCGACACAGGGACTGGTGTGATCCCCTAACACAGCACAATGTACACCAGCCTGGTGCACTCTGCAACAGTGAAAACTCCTACTGCAGGCCTGATTTACACCACTCTAGTGCAATGGTGCAAACCTCTAATTTAAACACAATTTGCACCAGTCCAGCATAATTGACACCTAATGTGGACATAATTGACACCAGTCCAGCATAATTGACACTAGTGCAAACTCTTAATACAAACACTGTTTTCACCAGTGCACAACGATTTATGCCAGTGCAAACCCCTAGTCTAAACACTGCAGCGTAATTTGCACTATTGCAGTTGACCCCAGTAACCCTCCTCTTTTCCCTGCCCCATTCCTGCAACAGAGATAAACTGCACCAATGTGAAATCCCCCTGTGCTGGTGCAAATGGTGTTTGCATCCCTGTTAGCCAGGGATTTTCAGCTGTGGCTAAAATCCCAGCATAGACAAGACCCAACCCTGAGAGAGTCAAACAGTTCAAACTTTCTCTGAACTCCAATACAGTTTATTTTACCTTTGGGGTTTCACTCACTGTCCTGGTTTCGCAGATCTGCATGCACAAAAATGCCCAGACACTTGTGCACCCAAGCCCCGATCCTGCAATCAGATCCCCTCATGTGCACCCTGCACCCACACAGAACCTTCCAGAACTCAGTCTGTGCCCACTGATCCAAGCACAGGATCGGGCCCTTATATGCAAATGCAGCTGCAGTAATTGCACATGCAAATGTCCACATAAGCTGGGTATCATCTGTACGCACATTTAGCAGAGCCACCCAATCAAACCCACAGGCGTTTTGAACAAGCGTTTCTGAACATCTGGATCCTCTGAATATAGACTGAACATCTGCATTTCTTGTTTATGGCAAGAAACTGATCATTTCCCAGTGCAAAATCTACTCACTAGCACTCATGGAAGACAAAGAAAATTGAAAGATTTTAATTGCCTGGAAATTCTCCCCCACGCCCCGCTCTCCCAGACGGAAAGATCTACGGGTCAGGGACTTTCTCCTTTGATGCGTATGTGCAGCGCCTAGCACAATGGCGTGCAATCACGATCAGGGTCTTTGGGCACTACCTTAGTACACATAATAAAGAATAAATACAGCGGGCGAGTCGAATTTTTCAGTTTCATACTCAAATGTCCCAGCACTAACCGGAGCCTAGGATGTTGAAGTTGCCAATCTGCAGGGGGGTGGGATGCGTGGGAAGGTTGCTGAAATCCATGGTTCTATGGAGTTTCACTTTTTAAAAAATAAGCTGTGTATTTTAGCCTGGATTCCCTGCCAGAGAACCCTTCTCTCACTAAAGCCTAACTAAAGCAACACCCAAGTCCCTGCACCCACCGTCCCAACATCCTTCCCCGACCGTCCCTCCCCAACCCTGCATCCACCGCCCCAGCATCCTCTCCCCAAGCCCCACCTCCCTGCCCCCTGCCCCTCTCCAAGCCTGCATCCCCAAAGGAGGTTCATAGCAGGCCTGGCGCCTCAGGCCCTCTCTTACTTGGTCCTGGCCTGGTCTACACTGGAGGAGCGGCGGTAGCCATCTCGCCGGGACAAGCCCTTGGGAGACACCTTGGCGCTGGCCTCCGAGTCACCGCTGTCATCGTCCCCCATGGCCTTGATGTAGCTGCCGCTCCGCATCCGCCGGCAGGGGATCTCGCCGTCCTTCCCCACCGCTGGGTAGCTGCTCCACTCGTCCTGCGGCACCTGCAGCGAGGACAGCCCCATGGAGAGGGGTCAGGTCAGGGAGCCCAGGGCCGTGGAGCGTGCATGGGGGCAGAGACGACACGTAACGGCTGATAGTGGTGGGGGGGCACAATTTAAAGGTTCTGGTTGTGCGCAGTGGGGGTTCCTGGTAGAAATCTGGGGGGGGGGGTGACCCCATGTAACCCACCCACGCGTCGTCTCTCCGTGGTGGTGGAGCAGACTCAGACATCCACCCCATGGGGACACTGGGGAGACGTGACACTAGGACAGAGACGCTAGAGAGCCCGAAGGACCCACAGGGTCTGTCTGTGTCCAACAGCTTGATAAGAATCCTCTTTATAGCCATTACAGACAGGGCCTCTCTCCCCTGCTGGCTGCAGGGTCCACTCCCCATAAGCCACTGGGAGCACCACACTAGGGAGGGGCAAACCATCCTGTCCCCAAGAGGAACCATCCCTTTCCCCATTCCTCCCAGCAGCCCACAGCTCAGACCCGAGCCCCGAAGTCTAGGGCACCAGATCTGAACTCCAAAGCCCAGGGCTCCTGGCCTTGCAGGATTTGATTCAGCCTGTCTCTACCCCAAACTGGGTCAGCAGAGTTTGGTTCACTCCCCTCCCCGCTTCCTCTGCTTTCCAGTGGGGCCGCGTTCCAGCAGGGACAAGATTGTGTGAAATGGGCTGTTCTCCTGCTGATGAACCACAAATTTCCTGCTCTGACGGCTGCTCCAGCCTGGCTTGGGCTCTGCTCAGGGGTTCCTGGAGCTGGCAGAAGCATCTGATCTTCTGGGCGCCCGTAAGCCTTCTGCGGCTCAGCCCCCACCACCCCGCCTTTCCCTTTGCAAAGGGAAAGTGGATTCGGCATCCCCATGTCTGCCAGGCTCGGGTTCCTTTCGCTGTCAGGTGCCGCTCACAACGACAGGAGCTGACAACCCAGCACGGCACGGCTGGGGTGCTGTTTGGGCTCAGAACCTGCCCCAAACTCCCAAACAAAGGCCAGCTGGCCTGGACAAGCTCAGTGCCCTCAGAGAGAGAGCCTTGTTTCTCTCCTTACCCCGACAGCCTCCGCGCTCAGCGCCTCTCAGGCCCCTGGGTGTGGCCCACCCCAGTCTGTTCACCCCCCCCCCCCATCTGCCAACCCCACCCCACCCTTGTCCCTTTGCACAGGCTCTCTGGACACAGGCTGCAGGGAGACCAGCTGGCAGGGGCCTCTCAACTAAGGAACTCCCCACGTGATGCTCAGAACTCCCACCTCACAGCGCCCCCAACAGGCGAGGCTGGGCCAAATCCCACCCATTGCCGGCGCAGCCCTGGCCAGTCTCTTTGCCAAGGCACCGTCACAATGGTGCCGGCACCCCGGCGTCCTTACCAGGTTCCGGTATGCCCCGGGCTATGAATCATAGAATATCAGGGTTGGAAGGGACCTCAGGAGGTCAACTAGTTCAACACCCTGCTCAAAGCAAGACCTAATCCCCCAGCTAAATCATCCCAGCCAGCGCTTTGTCAAGCCTGACCTTAAAAACCTCTAAGGAAGGAGATTCCACCACCTCCCTAGGGAACCCATTCCAGTGCTTCACCACCCTCCTATGAGCACAAGAGCAAAGCAGCTGGAAGGGAACCAGAGACCCGAACAGACAGAGGTGCCTCTCCGGCCACTCAGAGGGAACATGGGAATGAGAGCAGGTCCATTTACCGCATCTCTCGCTCTCCTGCCACATCCCCACTCAGGTAGCCAGGGCTAGGAAGGCGAGCGAGTGGGGAGGGGGCCAGGAGAACCTGGCCATCCCCTCCCACAGCCTGGGTGAATGATCATTTTGTTGTCATTCACAGTTTCCTTCCCCTGGGAAAGAAGAAGAAGGGCTAATTAGCTTTTAATTGGTAAAGGGTGACCTATCGTGGAACCCAGGCAGCGGGGCTGGCTGCCGGCACTAATCCAGGCATTAAATGGTTAAACACCCATGGCCGCCACTTGGGAAGGGAGCTGGCAAAAGCCTGTGGGTCAGGGAGAGAGGGGTGTTTGCACCCTCCCAGCCAGAGGGGGTGGGAGCCTGGCGCCATCTTGTATTGCGCACACACCAAGGAACTGGAATCGGGGTTGGCACCGGGTTTGATCCAAAATCCAGGGGGGACGATGGGAGATGGGTGAGGCTGGGAGTGGTGCAAAACTTCTAGACTGGGCTGGCCTGGAGCCAGGTGCCATGATGACCAGAGCCCAACGATTGGAGCCGGGAGGGCTTTGGATAAATGGGGCTGGGTTTAGCCCATCTCTGCTTAGTTAATTCTTCGGTGGGTGGGTGAGACTGTGCATAGGCAAGTGAGTGTGAGTGCACCCGAGTGTGTGTACCTGAGTGTGTATGTACCTAAGCATGCATGTTTGTGTGTGTTTGCGTGCAAGTGTACCTGAGCACGAATGTAGGTGTATCTGAGTGCGCATGTATCTGAGCGTAAGTGTATCTGCATGTGGGTGTGTGTGTACTTGAATGTGTGTGTACCTGAGCACGAATGTAGGTGTATCTGAGCATGCATGTATCTGAGCGTGAGTGTATCTGTGTGCAAGTGTGGAGCAGTTTGGGATGTCCCATTGCACAGGAGCAGTTTCATTGTGGGGCTGTTTCCGGCGCTGGAGATTTCTTTGGGCTGGGCCAGTCTGGGTTCTGGAGATATGTGGGAATATGGACGTTTTGGGGGGGAGGCGTGTCAATGCATCCATGGAGACCTTCTGGCAGGAGACAAGCAGAGGGCGGCTCTGGGGCTGTCCTGGGGTGACTGGCCCTACTGTTGGCTTTGTTTGTTTCCAAGAAGCACAATTCTGCCTCATGCTGCTGGGGCTTCTTAGCCGAAACCTCAGAGCCTCCAGTGCTCCTGGGGCGGGGGCTTCTTCTGCAGAGCAGAGCAGTCCAGGAGAGGGCTGCTCCGGTCAGAGCTGTAGGGACAGGTGCCCAGACAGTGTTCGGGAAGCAGACAGCCCAAGTTGAGACAGGCCGCAATCAATTGCTCAAGGCTGGGCCAGGGAAGAGCTGATGAGCCAATGTTGGAGAATCCTTTCGTTCCTCTCGGTCCAGCCGACGAGTGAGCTGCAGGTCGTGCAGATGGGCCGGAGACGGGGAGTGACAGCTGAGCTAACCAGCATGGAAACCGGCCAGCAGCCCTGCATAGGCTCCAGCGCCGGCCATGCGACTCCCCGTTCCTGGGGGCTGCGGCAGAGCCAGGGGAATCCCTGGCCAGAGCGGCTCAGCCCAACGAGATCGAACCCGAGGCAGGGCCAAGGAAGCGCCTGGGAATTTCGTTTTCCCACAGTCCTCTCTGCTGCCTCCCCTGCCTGGAACCCAGCTGGCCACCACCACGGGAAGAGGGGGCAGCTCCAGCCGCCAGAAGCCTTCGATACTGGTTATGACAGAGCCATGCCCCAACAGGAAGGCGGGAACTTTCGTGCCCGGCATTCCCGGACCACCCCGGTCACATGCGTACCCGCGAGCAAAACACACCGTCAACGAACCCGAGCTGAGCACAACCTCGGAGGCTGCTATAGCACCCCTCATCCTCAAGACTGCCAGGCGCTGCTGAAATGCAGCCACTGGGGCTGGGGCCTGGAAGAGTGAGACCCACTGCCCCATTGCATCGTGGGAGAGCAGCTCTGCACCCTCCTACACCAGCCTGAAACTGGAGTGGCCCCACTGAAGCCCAGTGGAGACGCCCCGGATTTACAGCAGCACGAGAGCCGAACGTGGCCCTTCCCGGCCCCACAGATAAGCCAGGGCGTCCGTTTCCCACACCGCAGCATGGAGTGGTGCGCACAGGCTAACTCACGGGTGTAAATCCAGTGTAGCTCAGCTAAAGCCAGTGGAGTTGCTATGGATTTACACCAGCATAACTGAGGGCAAGATTTGGCCCGAAGTATCTCCTGTCCCTTGGAATGACACCAGGGTGGGGCAAGCCTGCTGGGATTCCCCAGAGCGCTGGGCAGGCTCCTGACCGGCTTCCTTTCAGACTCAGAACAGCAGAAAGGGACCAGCACGGGGACAGGGTCTGGCCCCAGAGATCTCACACGCACAGGTGCCAACGTGCACAGGCCCACTCCCACCCTCTCCCCCCTCCCCATCCCCTTGGCAGCGTGGGCCAGGCGCCTCTACCATGGAGAGGCTGGAGCTGGGCCCACGGCAGGAGGGGAGGCCCGGCGCTGATGGGCTGGTTAGGAAGGCAGATCATTTACATTTTTCCAATCTGTGCTAAGTGGTGCAGAACAAACAGCAGCGTTGCTCAGCTAAGAGCCGGGAAGCCAGGCCCCGCGAGGGGTGCGGGACACGCACACCCACAGGCCTGATTTTTCAATCACAGCTCCTCAGGCCGCAGCAGGTGAAGACTCCTGGATCTGGCCCAGGAGCCATGTGTGAGCTGAGGGCAGAGCCTCAGTTTCCCCTTCAGACTGGGAGGCCTCAGACCAGGGCGACTTCTGCTCTGCCTCTGGGACGGCAACACTGGCTGTCCAACAGGCACATGTGGGCAGGGCAGGAGAGGGCGGAGGGGGTGCGGTGGCAGGGCTGGAGCTGGGGAACGCAGGCCCTGGGGGTTGCACTTTGGGAGCCAGGGAGCTCTGTGAGGGCCTGTGAGGTGCACGCTACAGTGCAGGCCTGGGGAGGACTCCTGATGGGCTGCACTGGGACTCCAAGGCTGGAGGTAGCCCAGGGCCTGGACGGAGCTGTAAGCCCTGGCCAGGTCATGTCACCAGCTGCAGGTCCAGGCAAGGTGGGGTGCACGGGTGAGGTGGGTGCTTTGGGATTCGGAGAGCCCCTGCCCTGTTAAGCTGCACGCCTGCAGCATGCCACTGGGGCCTGGGAGCAGAGCCAGCTCACTCCCCATGTGCTCTCTGCACACGGGATGGGACAGGAGCCATGGCCTCAGAGTAGCCTGGCCATCTGACAGTGAGCGATTGATAAAGCCAGGGAGAGCACGGGCCGGCGCTAGGCAAGTTTCCCTTCAGCTCTGCCGCAGCATCTCAATCCTGAC